CCTATAGGTAATTACTAAAAAAAATTATTTTTTACTATTCATATTCAATTTTGATGTTGCAAGAAAAACCATAGAACTCAAACAAAAATAATATTTTTTTTAAATAAGGCAGCTGTTTAAAGTGTCTTTTAAAGAATAGCACAGAGTTCACGCTAGCACATTAGAGAAGTTCATTTTTTATTTTCATATGGGGATGAAAACTCAATATTCATGTTTTTCTGTTTTATAACAATTACCAAGGTAAAATTAATCAGGATATATTCTGCTTGAGAAATTCCGTTCTGGAATGAGACAAAGTCGAGTGCCAATACAGAATATCGAGACAGAATTCAATATATCCTGTATTGCACTTCAAATCATTCAATAACATTTTTATCGTGTGATCTTAAGCCAATACATTTTACTCAGGAGATAATCCCTGAGAATTATTCTGTATTCTCTGTATTGCTACTGAGAGTCCCCACCTCCATACCAATATTTTTTGTATTGCTAGGAAGATGATCAATCGGGACAATCTCAGTAGTAATACAGGTTGGTACAGGACAGGAACTGACCAATCAGAGGGCTTCACTTTACAGATCATACGATAAATTGGTGTATCTACTTGACATTCATCATTGACTGCACACACAACAGAGTAATTGGTGAACAGAAAGAGATGTGTTGCTGGATATTTTCAATGTTAATTTTTTATTTTTAAATTTTGCCAGTAAATATGGCACAATTCAATCATTTATTTTTTGATGCAGCATTATGATATGTGTATTCACGTACAATGTTACTACAAACAACAAGCCTTCTAATACACTACGTGTACATATTAGGACTCCCAACAGTGGCTAGGGAGGTCGCTTTAGTCACTTTTTGATATAAAATTGTCACATGTCATTTTAAATTTGACTAGTCATATTTTGTTAGTTTCATTCATTTCTAGGCTATCAAAGCATTTAATGCAACAAATCACATGTTATATTCAATGTTTGTTCAGTTTGATAATAAGTCAGAATATTAAGTGACCTTAACTTGAATCCATATACATATACGAGATGAATCACCAAGTGCAGTAATTATACTTTTTTACACTATTTAAAATGCAGACAAAGTCTTAACAATTCCAGTAAATGTCCCTCACCACTAAGTCATCAGCATATAAAATTTGAACCAAACCTGTTAAGGTACTATGGAAGTTAACAGGAAATGACGAAACAGGAAGTGACAAAAATTTTGCATTTCTAGACATTTTTGAACAAAGATAACAGAGTTCTGGTTTGACCTCCAGTCAATTTAACTATTTCCACATATCATTTACATGACCAGGATCACAATGTGCATGGTCAGAATGACCCCAAACATGATGAAATAACCTTTTTAGCCCTTTGAAAGTGTGCCTGAAAAAAAGCTAAAAGTAGGAGCTAGGAAAGGTCACTGAACAGAATATTTTGAATTTTTCAGAAAATGTGCCCAATATAATGCTCTAACTGATACAATCTTTGAAATTTTAGAAAATTGTCTTTAAAAAATGGCGGTCATAAAAAGGAAAATAGATCGCTTTTCAAATCAGTTTTTTCATAATTTTTCTTTTTCTATGAATGCTATCAAATTTTCAAAGATTGTATCATTTAGAGCAATATATTAGGCACATTTTCTGAAAAATTCGAAAGATTCTGCTCAGTGACCTTTCCTACTTCCTTCTTTTAGCTATTTTTCAGTCACGTTTTCAGAGGGCTGAAAAGGTTATTTCATCATGTTTAGGGTCATTCTGACCATGAACATTGTGATCCTGGACCTGTAAATGGTATTTGGGACTAGTTGAATTGACTGAAGGGCAAAACAGAACTCTGTTATCTTGGTTCAAAAAATGTCTTAAAATGCAAATTTTTTTGTCACTTCCTGTTTTGTCATTTCCTGTTAACTTCCATAGCACCTTAAATGGTATTTGAATCATAGAAATTACATATATTTTCTAAATAAAATGGTGGCCATTTTATATTGAGTGGCTATATTAGAACTTCTTTCCTGAGCAAAGGTCCTATGGCCTTACAGCATTAGTCCATACTAAATCCATTCACTGGAATTTAACAACCATTCATTGCAACTACCATTTGACCTGCATAATAGCACTTAAAGCATGATACTAGTTACAAATGTTTACTAAACAAAGAAAATAAGCTTATCGGTTTCATTAGTTTCACTTGGATCTAAAAATGACCCCTTGTGTGAGTTGTTGGTTATATAATACAATGCAGTCATATGAAATACTATCCTCTGATTGATAGAAGTTGACACACCTTGCCTAGCTATGTGTGAATACTTTTTTAATCATATTTGACCTTCTGATTAGAGAATATGAAGCAAATGACTTTCTTGACTATAATAACCAGAACAGTTCCAATTATAATGCAAACACAACACACTAGTGCTATGATGTCGAGCAAATAGTATTGGAAGAAATTCAGTTCATTAGCAGCTTGGGATCGTAAATGGGGTGCACCCTTGTGGCGTATAACATATTCAGCCCAGTAGACAAGTTTGTCCTTTGGTGGCATGGGTTGATCATGGTATATAGCAGCAGCTCTTTCAGCATTCGCCTTGTATGTTTTATTCTCTATAACCTCCTTCATGGCTCGTTGAAGTTTCTTGCTGGTGATTCCTTCCAAAGAAACAGTTTGACCAGATTTTACTCTATGGGAGAGTTTCTGGCAATAGAAAGGCTGATCCCAAAAGAATGGTACTCCAATCACAGGGAGGGCATAATGCAAAGCTTGAAAGCTGGATGAAGCTCCACAGTGTGTCACAAATAGTTTAGTAGCAGGTTGATTCAACAGGCTTTCTTGAGGTATCCATTTACTCAATATCGTATTATTTCCAAGACCTTCTGGTGTGGGGCCTTCGTAACTCCAAATCACAGTTTGTGGCATTGCAGCAAATGCTTTGGCAAATGTGGTTCGAAGTTCTGGCCAGAGTCTACGGAACATTGAGCCAAAGCTCACAACAATTATC